CCGTGACCCCGTCTGTGCTTGGCTGGAGACGTTGCAAGAAATGGCGATTAATCGATGTCAGTGGCGTTCGTGCTGTCAGTTTCTTTCCAGATTTTCTGATTGAGCGGTTGGAGGTGTAGGCACCTCAGTATGGCTGACATAGGTCAGCACTAGGTCCCCTCCCTCACCCACTCTTTTTCTCTTCTCTTCACTGTAGCGCATTTAATACAATTATATATATATATATATATATACATATATAACTAAACGAACTTTATGGTTGTATGGCAGTGAAGCATCAGTGCCAACACTGATGTTGCTGTCATTGATGATGATGATGATGATGATTCCGGTGCCTAGTTGTCATGCTACCCGAAGGAAGCACGAGGGCTGGGATACTGCCAGGTTACCCAAGCCTAGACAGGGTAAGTCGAGAGGCAGAGGTTGGTTTGGAACCACGGACCTTCCGATCAGTAAAGTCGCGCTCTAGCCACCTGAGCTATCTCGCCCCGTTCCTGCACCTAATGTCTCATAGTCGGATAATCTGGAATGAAAAATACAGTATGAATACCACTGACATCGATCAGCCGCCATTTGTTGCAATATATCCGGCGGAGCGCACGGGTGTCACATGGACTCCACCCTGGAAGGCGGGCAGCAACTGCAACACTTAGACTCGTGGAGATACTTTTATACCATTCTGGATGTCATATGATGTTTATCTGGCGGTTTGCTCCGTTCTGAAGGAGGTACGGAGAACAACACTCGTCTTGGCAGGCAGTGTTTCCGCATGCTTAGCACATAGCCGAGCAACCGCGCTTGTTGGTGCTGAATGTTTTCAGCAACTAAAGTGCCTACCGCATCCCTGATTACGTGTTTTCTAATAACATCGTTACGAATCCGCTGGTGCCGTCCGACACCAGTAACGCTTCTGAGAAATCAGTGATCACAGACCTGAAGACGCTTCACATCGTGTGTCTGTAGACACCACGTCTCGCAACCACACGACAGTACAACTCTTTGTTTAGTGCCTGTACACGAGACCCAGTGATGTGCCTTTTCGACGCCACAGGTGACGCGAATTAGCAAACGTGGTTCGGGTCTTCGAGATTCTTGCACTAACTTAATCACACAAACTTCTGTCAGAGCTAATACATCCGCCGAGGTATGTAAAATTCCCCAAAACTTTCAATGACTCCTTGAATCGCAAGAGGTATGCTCAGACACTGCACGTTCTGAAGCACCCTCCTTGTACTTTGAAGGTGCAAGACGCATACCAAAAGATGGTAATATAGTGGTCAGTTTATTCAACAGAGCTTGTGCAGCCTCTTTCTGGTCGAAATCCCGCTTGATGCTCAAAGGTCAATGACTCGCGTCAGACAACGAAAAATCAGTGGTGCCTAAAGCCTTGTTCAACATGAGTCAAGCTGATAGTTCTGCATTTGCCATATTTACTGCGAGTGTCTTTTGTGAAAATGGGCGCTATCATCAATTCACTCCAGTTGTTTGGGTCACTCTCATTCACCTAGATGGACACCACCAGGCTATAGAGGCACTGGCGACCACAGTCTTTGTATACAACAGACGGAAGGTCGTCAGGACCAGCAGTACAATGACGGTTGAGTAGAGACATGCATTCGGACACTTCTGATGTTGAAGGGGATCCATATTCACAGTCCGTTTTTGGGTTGAATGCGAGGTTCCGGACTGGAAGTAGCCAGTGGCCAAACGAATTGGTGTTGGAAGTATTATGCCCAAAAATCCGAATAATCTCCTTTGCTGGATATCAGACAGCCATTTGAGTCAATGATAGTTTCGGTAACAAGAAGCTTCCGAGGAACAGTCGAACATATCAGTTTGAACAGCCTGTGGACTTCAATCAATTGGAAAATGTTTGGGACCGATTGGGAAGTCATCGTTTCAGAGGGGTTTGGTAAACAATCAGTGGGTTTATTGCTTGGCAACGTTTCGCTTTTGACACAAAAGCTTCATCAGGCCAAGTGAGTAAGTAAGTAGGTTGATTGGGTTTTAAGGCAGTCAGGGAACCAATCCGTGAGATTCCTTATGACTAGTGACGTGATCAGTGCTGGGTGTTCAGTCTGATGTCCCTGTTTGTTGATTGGTGGGGATGAGTAAGCTTTACGATAGATCGGTTAGGGGGGTTCGTCTTTACGATGAACCCGGATTTTTTCGTCCCTACTTCTTCAGTCTAGAACACCTTAATGGAAAATTCCTCTTGGGGTCATTCACAGATTTCGTTCACCTGTGTTCGTCCAAGGGTGCTGGGACAATTAGTTTGGGGATGGGGGTGGGCTGGTTAATTGGGTCTAACGCTACTTGGATTTTTGTACTTTTAGACCCAGGCGGTTTCACTGATAACTGCACACCGCCTCGTGTCATCCCAGCGCCCGCGCATATCCGCACTTGCTTAGTCCTCAAAACTCATACCATTTAAAGACCATGCAAAGAGAACTTTTCCGTTAGGTTTTCTTCCGAAAAAATGAGTTAACCTTTCTGAATGTATTGCAAATGTTGCCCGTATAACGGAAAGTTTTTCAGGTTTATGCGTGCTCAAAAGTTTGGAGCAACTTCCAGGTATAGTCTCTCGCACACCAATATTCTCTTGGCTTACTTACACTCCCTTCGCTCTTCCAACCATTTAAACTGTAGCGATTCAATCCAAACGACCAACCTTGTCCGCTGCGACTGCTCTTGCGATGACTTCTCAGGCGATGCCGAACGATAGGTGGGTTTACCTGTTTTCCTGATATATGAACTGTATCATTACCATACACACGCCTGGATATTCATCTTGTTTCCTCAAGCACGTTGTCTACCGGTCTATGCAACCAGTCCTACTCATTCCTCTGAGACAGGAGATGGTTTTAGAGACAGTGACCCTTCAGAGCCAAAGTACTAACAGTAGCCAGTTATTTGATGTCCGCTGCTAGCTTCTTCCATGCAGAGCGCGTAAATTATCGACCCCAATTTTTATAACTTGAAAAGAATAGCCTTCAAGCGAATACAGGCAATTCATAATGGGTAAGAACACACCAAGATGGATGTTCTAGCTATTTTCTGCGCATTCATTAATTAAGGCTCCGGCTTCATTTGCTCTGTAGTTCCATAAAACCAATGGCCTGTTTACCTAACTGCTTTCTTTCTTGTTGGATTTGTCGTGCTTTTTGATGGATTGAGCAAAAACGCAGGCGAAATCATGGTCCCTCGACCGGCTTAGTGGTGCAAGTTCGGATTTGACATGCATTGAAGTCAGGTGCCTCCCTAAGCGTGGTCAGTATCTGGTAGTGGTGGTACCTGAACAGGGCTGTATTGGATGGCGTTCGTGTGTAACATGAGCAGCAGGTGGACCGAAAATGCTTACAGCATGTATGAAAAACAACGTTGGTAGTTTTGTGTCTTCGATGGTTTAGATCCGCCAGATCGAGATAGACAACAAAATGCACCGAACGATGCAACCACTCATCAGTACATTCGAGGTTTGTAGTCCGCATCCGGGGAAGCATATTTTGGAACGAAAGCAAAAAATGCCAATCACCGTGCAACCGAGAATCTGGCAAACTAGATCCAGAACTAACGGCTGTTATTTTGTTTCCGTAATTCATACGCGTTAAATTCACGTGATCTTGAGGCTGAGGCTACTGCTTTATCAAACGAACCCATAGGCTAATGCTGAGAACAAATTCCTGATTACAACAACCACTGTAAATCAGTGGAAATTTATTGTGGTAATTGGATTGGTATTTTTTATCAGTTTACCTACTAAGGGCCTGGCGTCAAGTTGCGAATTGTGTAAAAGAAAATAACTGCCCTTCTCGCTACAGTACCGTGTATCTGTTCTGTTTGTTGTGGACGCGAAATAATGACAGTGTTTAAACGTTCATTCTCAGTAGCTTGTTTTTCACCACAACACAAGCTCAATATAACCTGAATGCAGAAAGAACATTTTTCTGGATACCGATGCAGCCAGTTCTTATGTTAAATTAACTTATGCGTCTGTTGCACGAAACACCATATATACTCCAGCCGTTCGGTGCCGGAGTCAATTAACCGAAATTGGATGGACTATAGCACTTGCTGTGTTCTGAGCTGCTCACCAATTTGTTAAAAATCCATATGTTGCTAATCTTAATTTCCAAATATTTTTGTTAGACTATATCCGCCACACTTGATTCCTGTCGTTTTGCCATATGACCTAGCAAGAAGCTTAGACGTGTCACATTAATCTGATCCGTCAGCAAACTTGCTTGGAACTCACGTCCATTGCTTTTTTTAAACGGAGGAGATTGTATTCAATTCAGTTTCTTATTATGATTGTTACTGCGTACGAAAAGGCTTCAGAATCTCTGCACATTAAGAAGTACACTACTCCTGAGAAGACTATCAAACCGGATATAATATGGGACTAGTAGTGTCAGAGATATAATTCAAGCCAAGCAACCGGTTCATTCTGCTCTCGTTCATTCGCCAGGCGTGATATCTTCTCCAAGTACACTTCTTCAAACACCGTACACAAGATGTTTGAAAAAAACTAACAAATTACCCGGTCGCAACCTATAACCGTAGTGCAGTGGAACCTTAGAACGTCCGTCCACTGCCACATGAAAGCCTCGCCCTCGTTGCCATGATCAGGGCAGGTACTGCAATGTGTGGGAGGCTTATGGGTGCGAAATACGGTCGCTCGCACACCAATTTGTTTTAACGGGAGGCTCGACTGAGCCCCAGCGGAATCTCCTGCTTATGATATTTTTCAGCTGCATTTTCTGCATTAAGACCGCATCATGTTTCAGCTGGTACGATTCGTATTGTGGTATTCGTAATATCACAGTGTCTTTCTTCGACTGAGCACCGCTCATAAGATTGCTGAAAAACTCTTCAACAGTCAACAACCGGTCTCTCCTTTCTTGTATCTCACCTGGTTCTCACTGGTATGCGTATTAATGCGGTTTCAACAGGACACTCAACTGTGCAACAGATTTGGCTGAAGAATACCATAAACGAGATGCAAGTTGGATTCACTTGAGTTTCTTTTAAAACCAAAATAGTTTGAAAATAAGTTTATTTCGAGAATTGCGTTCCATTTGGATTGAGTTGGGAGGATGAGGTTGGCGGTAACTCTGTGACTGCGTTTACTTTATGAGCCCCCGATAGGGACTTAATCGGTTGTGGGCTTTCAAAGAGCTTTCAATACCCTTATGTATAGTGTTCCTTGGAAGGGCTTATATTGGTTATGGAGGGATACTTGTAGCGCTCTATTGGCTATGCAAAGCTATCTACACCTGGCAAACGACACGTTTTTTTTAATTATTTTCCCCTCTGAACGTAATTACTATTTAAATATCTGGTAACGAAGTGCCTGCAAGCTGTCAGCCGATAGGTGCTTGCAGGATAAAATGATCTTGCTCCCCCCTGGAGGGTATACGCCTTTAAGAAGAGTATAATTCTGACCCATCTTGACAGTGTCCAGAGGTGTGTCAGAGGTGATTATATATATATACATATATATATTGCATTTTATATATTACACATACACACCCTCTTTTGATAGATAGTTTCGACTGAACTGATCCTGCGGGTCAAGCTGGTTAGAACTCAATATCTTAAGATTCTTCCACGCGAGATAAACCAACGGGGACCAGTCCGACGAAGAGCAGTTAGTCATCTTACCACGAAAAATCATCAAGTCAATTCAATTAATCAGCTATAAACCGTGTGCCATGGGCACATTAGTTCCAGCTGCTACAGTTTTGATCACCAGAAAGCGGGAAAGTGGAATACAAAACCAAGCATTGGAGGCGAAGGCATGCTCAGTTTGTTCGGAAATTTGGTAGCTATGCACTGAATGCGATAGCTTTGATGCATGAGCGCCACTGACTGCGATTGGGCCGTTTCCGCCAAAGTCAAAACCACTGGTGAAATCGTATCACGAGACGTTCTGGGGGTAAATCCGTACTGGCCTGTGGGACAGGATGTCCATATTACACATAACTATATAATATATATGATGTGGAAAGTGAAAATATATGTAAACATGTGGAAATATGGAAAGCAGAGATGCTACCTCCCTCGAGGAAGGACGGGTTAGAAAATATCGGCCCTAAAACCACACACTCCAATTGCCCAGCAGTTGATTGTAACGGTCAAATCATCTAGTACGGTTGGAATACTTTTAGAAATAAAAAATCTGATGCTGCTCAATAGGCGCTTGCTGTGCGCAGTGGTAGTATTAGCCAGATTCTCTCCACCCTCTGGCTAGGCCACTTGCCCACTGCCATGGGAATCATACTTTGAAATCAAAGACTTGGAATGGAGTATTTGAAATAAACCTACTTCTAGGCTCAGAAGTATAAAAACACCACCTTCTCACAGATGACAGACTGTAAAAACAAGTTGGGTTATTTACGGCTTGGGACCTAAAACGTGGCGGCTCTCTTCAAAGGAACGGACAAGACAGACCTGAAAGTTCAATCGCCCTTTTTGCAAAAAGAGTCGCTGCAATGAAATTCAGCCGGTCGACCAATGTAAGCTTCTGGAGGCTGAGTGCGGTTACCAGTCTGGTTGGGATGCAAGGCGCGCTAAATGGTGAACCCCTGACGCTCATTATTTTTCTGTTTTACCGGGCTAATTTTATGTGCAAGATTTTCCTCAATTTGTTGTTTATCTCATTACCTAACTCTTGTACTGCAAATCCTCGGAGTACTCTAGATAGCTAACTTTATGGGTTAGCCTTTGTATTTGCTATCCTGTCTCTTTCACTTATTGCACTTCTCAGTATAATATCGATGACTAATAGTTCGTTCTACAAAGAGACCTTCTATACGCTACCTGCGTAATAGCAGTTCGAAAACAGTGACTGAACAGAGAGCGTTATACCAGTCTTATAGCTATCTTTTCTCACGACTGTTTCCGACTCGATTGTATGTTGGAAAGTAACAAATGCGATTGAAGACTACATCTTTGCCCACCGAGAAGGCTCACGCCAGTCTTCAGTATTCTCCTTGTATTATATGCTCAGCTATCTCCTGTGAATCAAGGTTTATATACAATGTTCGCAAAATCTTGTTTCTTAATTTCATGTCCCTCATTCAAATTTCATTGAATGCACCAAATGAGTCGCTGTACGAGTTATCCTCTGCCTTCGTATCATGGGCCAATCAGTTACATATATATCGTCTCAAGCTTCGCTTGTCCGTTGTTTGCGTCTATCTGGTAGTGTATTTCCCTACGCATCATGCTCATTTCACTGTACAATATCTGCCATGCCGCTTGAAATGGTGTTTCGTTGGAAGCCTTCATATAAGCTCTTTAGCCATTGACTAAACCAACGAAATGTTTCTTTTAATTTTATTATATAGTCAATAGTCTACGTGATCAAGTTTTCTTTTGCAACAAGTCATTTGTAATACGTAAGTAGTTCCTGCTACCAGGTCCTCCTTATAGTACTGAGAGAGAGCAACCCTCACCTTAATTTGAACTGCTAGTGGTGTATAAGTCCGCTCAAAACTGGACTAACGTTTGACTAAAAGGCCACAGTGCATCGGCCGTCATGTTATATTTTCAATAATATTAGAAAGGACTTTCGTTTCCTCAAGATAAACCTACTACTCAATATGCAGACAAATCTTGTCTCCATTCCCGTACATGCGTACAGTTTCTCTGATACATTCCCCTCCGCTTATTCCAATTATTTCCGGCGTACTGGATTATCTCTCCCCTCGGACTTTTCGCCTGTAGAATGCCAGAGCGTGCCCTCTCTCTAGATAATGTTTTCTCCGACCCACAGTCGATCATCATCATCCCTGTCAGCTGCAAGAACCGCGTACTTGTGGTACAGTGGCTGTAGCTGCCATAGTGTCGTTCACTGATGATTTGAGGAGGTTGGAGGCGGGAGTTGATAAATTGGTGCGTGATTACAGTATTGTCAGTAGAGTGTCGAGTGAGGGGATTAGGAATGGAGCGATGCAGTGAAGGAAACAGCCTGAGTGCGCGAGCGCCATTGAGGGCGCGACTGGGCCTTGTTTGACAGTGTCTCCAACCACTGATGTGGCTCGTCTCGGGGTCGCCATCCAGGAAGATGGCAATGACCAGCGTAGCAGAGTTTGTTGGTAATGGCTTTTATACTTCGATGCTAAGTCCTTGTTTGATCGCCTCTGGCTCTCTTCCATCTTTTGATGTCCTCGGGGCGCAACGGTCAGGTTTCTGATCCGTATAATAGTATGAAGCGCATCGCAGCATTGTACACTCGACCCTTGACAGAGAAGCTGATGTCACGCCTACGCCGGAGGTGACGCAGGTTTACAAAAGCCGTTCTAGACTTCCCAATTAGGATGAAAATATCATCTTTGACGAGACTACCGGGACTGATACAGCTGTTCAGGTAAACAAATTTGTCTACTGCCTCTATCGGTTCATCCGCAAGGATGAACATGGGTTCGAGCCCACCCTGTCTTGCAATAGCACTTCACACTTTTCATGTGTGAAGTGCATGCCAAACCGTGAGGAGGAATTATTCAGATTATTTAATATTGTTTGAATTACCACGGGGTTAGATCCAAGAAGAGCTATGTCATCTGTGTACTCGATATCTGTTGGTGGATACCCAGGGAGCATTTCGACCCCACAGGCATTAGAGGCTGGTAGTGAGTCTTCCATGATCGTATCAATGACGAAGTTGAGGAGAAAAGGTGAAAGAAAACAGCCCTGTCTGATACCACTTAATGTGGTGAACTCAGGTGACGTTTTATTCCAATGAAACTGAGTGTTTGCTGTATATTTCTCTTGAAAAATTTTTTTGGCGGCTGTGTCATATGTGCAAAAAGTATATTTTGCCATTATGATAAAGCGAAATGTGAGGCGGCAGCCAATTCGGGGAGGCCTATGAAAAAATTCAAACCCGAGTCGTCGAACTGGAAGTTCACTATGTCAACCACTACGGCTAAATCACACTGATGCTATATATGGCCCGTAAACCTTTTGCGTAGGGATATAATGCCACCCTCCATTATCGATCGCCAAGAAATATTTTATCGGAGCCCTGCAACGTTGGTCCAAGAAACCCTCTTCCGTGATATAAAACCAAAAACATACATTAGCGTGTATGCACGTCAAGTTAGCATACGAATTTATGCCGGAGGCTGAGTTGAGATTAATCTACTGTTTTAATGCTTACTTAGAATTTATGCCGGAGGCTGAGTTGAGATTAGTCTACCGATCTCGGTGAGTGAACTGTTTCAACATACGACCGTTCGAGTGGCAACAGATTAATCTACTGTTTTAATGCTTACTTCAGTCCAATGAATCCAGGTTTTTGCCAAGTCGTGTTAAGGGTGGGTTATATTGTCACTATTTAATGCATGACCATATTGTATTGTTGTGTGTTTGTATTGTTTGTGTGTGTGTGTGTGTACTTCCGCATGTTCATATCCCTGAGCTGCAGCATTTTACTCCGTCCTGTTGATGAACGGCACACTCCGACTTCTGTTATCAAGTCATTATCTTGCCTCCTCGGCAATAAAACATCGCATCCCCAAATAGAGAGAACTTGTGCTTTAGAGGTCGTTTTGGCCCGAGGACGATGTTCTCTTTGAGGTCGTGTGACATTTTATCAGTTACTCAGTATTCGGTCATTTGAAAATCATGCTCTTGTGGCACTCTCATCAGAGTTACGTGGTGATTACTAACGGCATTGCATTTTTCGAAAATGCAACGAGCAATTCAAACAGTCCCCTGGTGTGGGCCAGGTAAACGTCGCCTCCCCCTACTCATTACGGCTTCTCAGTCGTACAAAAAGGGTTGATATCTATGTGTAGAATGCTACTGATACTGACAGTGCTGTCCCAAACTTTACTTCTAGTGTTTTGATTAAAACACTCAAAGTGTTTTCTTGCTTGCCTTTTTTCTGTGTAGTGACCCTGAATTTTTACCTGACATTGTGGATGTGGAGGTCATCCACAAAAACGTGCCAACTGCTGCCACACGTAAACATGAAGCTCCTGAAGTTGACCCGGTTCTTGAAAACTCCAAGTATGAAGACATAATTCCAGCTTCCTGGGAATCATCTACAAGTCCACACCATGAACACAAGCCGAATAAGCCAACCGTAAGGCCGAACCCATATTTGGTTCAGCTGGGCCATATGCTAGAGGATTCTGTGGAAGAAGTTGATATCGATGAGACCGTCTTGTCAACACCTGGAAGCCTATTTGCTTGCACACCACCTGCTGACAGGCAGAAATCTCGACCAAATCAGCGTCACGTAAAACACACGAAATCAGCACAGTTAAAGTTTGTTTCCAGAGGACCTGTCATGAAAAATGAAGTTGTGGTTACACAGCCTACAGTTGCTTTGGTTCCTAAGGAAGTGAGTACACTCCACTCTGTCCCAACTACGGAACAGGCAGTTACTCGTTTCACCTCCTCGGTCTACTAGGCTTTAGTTTTGAGAGCTTTCTACATGAAGGTGAACATTGCAGAATAACGTGGTCGCTATTTTCGGTGACCATTTTACCTATCGTGGATTTTTTTCTTACCGTTTGTTTTGTGGCGTGTGAGGAACAAAATCAGATCGTTCTTCTCCACGATCTTTTCGGTATATCTTGTGCTAGGCCGCAGGCTCATCAGTCTTATCTTCTGAAAACTTCGGACTTCTTACGGGCAATCCATGACACATAAAACCATATGAATTGTCTAACTGAATGCTTTCAACCATTGACTGGTTTACAGAATTACTCAAAATGAAAATCAGTCACAGTATAAAATAAGTTCTTGCCGTTGAGTTGTCAGACCAAGCCGTCCCGTCCATGAAAAGGGCCTACCTTTGGGACAATACAACGAAATAACTTGCTGTCTTCTACCTGGTAATGTGTGATTCATGTTTTTTGTCAACAAACCTTCCGTAGCTTATGACAAATACACCTATTTGCATATCGATTTGGTTTTCACGGGCGACTCACCCGGAACCCAGCGTAATCCCTCGGTTATGATGAGTTATTTACGTAGCTCTGTTTGTATGGCCCGCTTGGCGGCTTATCCTGTCACTGACTTCCGTTTGCATGCTGCTTTGACCAATCATGGCGCAGTTTTCAATGTATTCGCTGCAGTGTAGAGGCACTTCCTGAAGATGCATTTTTGTTACATTCAAAGAGCTTAGCTAATAGACGATCTACTTTTACATCTCCATGCACATGCACCTGGGGAAACACTTCACTCTGGTTCTTCTTGTGCATGCCACTTGTGCAACTTGAAGGAAACACGAGTACTGAGGGCCTCTCATTAGCTTAAGCCCAAGAAGATAGAAATGGTGTACATAACTGGGTTAGTAGTTTGTCTTCACAGCCAATCCAGGCATTCGTCAGGCTGATATCTAGAGTCACTGATGTGAAACAGTTTAACAGATCGCTTCACAATAGGTGCGTGATTGCATAGTAATGTTTCAGCTTCCCCTAACTGGTACACTACTTGTTTGGAGTGCATTGTTATCCCGATTGTACATTTTTATTTCCAGTGAGAAACACGAAATACAATTTAAGTAAAATCCAGTGTAGCATGGAGGAATTTTTGTAACTGTACGATTGCGAAGCCATGTGTGCGGCAGCAAGCTTGTTTGGTGCAAACTATGTTGAGCATGTATCTCAAGACAGAATTCTTTAACTAATAAAGTTGGTATCGTTCTTTGGAACAAATATAATTTCACCTGCATGGACAAGGATATATACGTATATATATATATATATATATATATATATATATATATATCGATAGTTGACATGAAGATATATATATATATATATATATATATATATATATATATATATATATATATATATATCGGTAGTTGTTCGCTGGCATCTGTGACAGATTTGTTGTTCCAATGTGGTCGACCCACCAGATGCCTGCACATAGCGGGTAAACCACAATCGGTTTGTGTGGAGCCGAATATAGTGTTACGGGTAAGCCGGTGAGGCCGATGCAAATTCAATGGAATGGGATCGGCGAGCAAACGCAGAAGACCTTTGAGAACCATCGGCTTTCTACACACGGTGACATTAGTTGTGCTGCTCTAAGGCGCTTGCCTTATGCGTCAACCAAGTTTCTGGCAAGCACCACAGTTCCTCCTGGTAAATTACCACAACGATGGAGGACGCTCATCACCGCATCTTTTAAGTGATATTCAGGCGGATGCCCACTGATACTATCATCTCGTATTATGACAGTAGAGTCAGACAGATTAGAGTTCGGAGCAGGCTTACCGTAGGCTGATGTGGGCTAGAAATGAGAGAAACTTATCCGGGCTATTCCCAGGCCCTAAATCGTGGTTTAGCAAGGGCGCGCTAACGACCTGTTAGCCCTACTCTGCTCAGCCTTGTGCTCTCAGAGGCTACACAGGTCCAGGTGGCTACGATTGTGCCTAACATTATGCGACCGTTTCCAATGGTTCACCGGCTTTCGAGTATTGAGACAAACTTCTTCAGGTCTGTGCAAATGACAGTTTGCCCTGCAACGTGCTAGATTTTGCCAAGATCTGAACCCCATATCATAGCATTGCACATTAACTAACAAAAATTCGGCCAGGCTCGAACCCCGTTCTTCGGTTGACCACGAGAGTTGTTTCGGAATGCGATTATTAATTACCCATCTAACCCGGCCTATTTAGGATAACTGGTTGTGTATCAAAATCTGCTGGACTCCGTTTATCCTGGTTCGTTTGAGAACTTTATCCGATTACTTAAATCGTATTTATTATTTTGCTTGGGCGTCGCAACCGAAATTCGCCGAGCATCTTAACATGCTGTGCGTGTGATATCCACGTTTATCTGCCGCACAATAGTGAAGACGATGAGGTAACCTAGTACACTGCGACCTTGCTGTCCAGGTCCAGGTTGCCTCAAACACTTATATAATCAACCGAAAGCAGCGCTTGCCTTGGCAACCTTAACATGCAATTCCGTGTTTGTCACGAAGTCTGTGGACGTGGTGTTGCCCTGGTAGCGTAAATTTTCACAGCACGCCATGCGGTGGCCATTAATTTGAATACACGTCCTTTGTTATCAAAGACATAATTAGAGGTCAAGTGTCTTAGGACCATTTATACTTTGGCTCAAGTAATATGTTGCCGAGACAAAAGCTTTAGCTAATCGGTGCTATTCCTCTTTCGAACGTGCAAATAAAGCACAGTCATCTGCGAAATGCAGCCGACGAAACTTTGACTAATGTAGCTTCGTTTGAGCTAAGAAAAAATCGTTCAGCTTTAACACCCTTGCGGTGCCTAACTGCCATACCACCAGAAGGAACCGCCTGGGTTGGGATACTGCCAGGTTGTCCAAGCCTATACATGAGAAGTCGAACGGCAGATGAAGGGTTCGAACCACGGACCTTCCGGTCAGTAAATTCGCGCTCTAACCACGGAGCCATCTCGCTCTGTTTGAGATAGGGTGTCAACGGGCTAGATGGCACTAAATCGGAAAGCCACCTTCGGAATCACGTAAGTCTGCCCAAATTATAGTCAGAGTGGACACTGTTGGAGCCAGGTCACAACCCTACTCCACTTCCGTGCCAACTGCGAACACGGCAGGGATAGTTCGACAGGTACTCGGGCTCTCGTACCGGAGTGAAGAGATCTGATGGTATCAACAATCTTTTCCAGACAGCCGAGCTTTTGGAGAACGGTTTATAACGATTATATTCAGAAAGGCCTTTCAAGCAACCAATATCTTCATAGTTACTGAGTGTTCGGCCGGCCTTGGTGTTTTCATGTGTTGAAAGTACTGCATTTTTGTTTTTAATGTTTCAAAGAAATCCTTATGACATCATCTTAGTAAAATTCGTGATCGTCTGATTTATTGGAAAATGTAAATGCTTCATTTTCATATCATCAGTCCTGATCCTTTTTTCTTGATATATATATATATTACAGTTATGCCTTCCGTTGATCTGAAAAAATTGTGTAAAAACATCCTCTTTGTGATGCTTTCAAGATCCCTAAAAGATTTGAGTAGAGGTACCATTCACACTTAATCCCCCGCGTGTTGTGCATTGCAGTTGATGGTGTAATAGTTTTGCGTCACTGCTACCGGAATACATGGTTTTTCTTTTGCTTGGCAAGTCGGGAAATTCCCAAGCTAAATGAAGATCCACAATAGTTCACAGTCAAAGCGTATTCAGCTTTTATGCAGGGTTGCACTGCACTCATGATGTCACCTCGATTGGTGATGAAACGTTTGCAATCCAACTGCCAAGCTCGGCGAACAGACCAACAACCAAACAGCGCACCCGAGCTACCTACATTCCACAACATTGCTAGTTCGAGTATTACATTGAAAAAACATTGTATATATTGTTCCCAAGTTATTTTATTCCATTTTATTTTTCTTTCCTTCTCTGCAATAGTCTTCGAAAGACTCCTCCCGTTCTCCAAATCCGTTGGTTGTCTCTGCCAGTCATTTGGTAGATTTAGACCAAACTCCAGCAGATTTGGCTATGCAAGAAGAACTCGATAATTTCGACTTCAACACCGTTTCGTTCAATCCAGCCGCATTTGAAAAGTCTCCGTCGCCTCAGTTACCCACTCAGTTGGTAAGTTCTTGGTTGATGATTCTTACAGTCTTACCTCAGGTGCCAATGCCTAAATGACAAACAAAGCTTCCGTTAAACAGGCCAGCTGCAGTAAAAAGGCGAGTCGGGCGTCGGTTAGGTGAACCTTAATTGCCGGTTATTTTCGCTGACTTTCTCTTGCTACCAGTCATGTATGTGGCTACTTTTTGATCACCTATTCTCTCAACACCGATTTTTATTACACCATATAATTGCGTTAAAAATAACCATGTGCTTTTTTAAAGGTTCAATCTTATTTCCGTTGCTTTCCGAGGCAACATTGCACCGGAAATCTAGTAATAATATGACTAAATGCAATCATCTCTGACCACGAAACACCTCGGCACTTAATGCTGAAGGAACATGCGGGATATAACAGAGTGATGCACTTTTAGATAAGAAAAGATAAAGATTTTCCAAAGCTCTCTCACGATGTGAGCTAGAATTAGTCGATTTTCGAATTTGTATACCATTTTATTGGATTCATTACCGCAGAATGATTGGACGGAAATACGAAGAATCCAGGGGTCTTGCTGTGTGTCCATCTACTCGGGGGTTTGTGGCACTTCAGACTGTTATCATGCACCAGAAATGTGATACATTCGACTCCAGTCGATCCGATGTAGCTATTTTGGTTCACACTAATATTTATTTCGGAAGCCTGAACGTTTTTTGATATCTCTGTGTCTTTGTCTTTTTTTCAGGCTGCACTTGCAGCTACTCCTCTTGCGAAGGGTAGATAAATGAATCGTTACCCTTAACTCACGCTATAGCCTTAAGGAAATTTAGTCCTCTGTAGAGGTTATCAAAATCTTCCCCGTACTATCTCGAGGAAATGGAGATTTAGATTCGTAGGATATTCTTAGGAGAGTCCGGGATTTTGCCGTTTGTTTCCGATATTTTGCTTGCATCCTAATATACGTAATGTTCTCCCCAGAGCCGTGTTTTGGTAACGAATTGTGTATCTCCCAACAGTATTCCTGCTTTCCAAATCACCGGGCGTAACCATACCGCTTGCCGATTGGAAAGCCGACCCTTCGAGTACCCTAAGGATTCCACGAATTGAACAAATAAACGAAGTCGTTGTCTACAAATTATTGCACTCCCACCACGTATCGATAACTGCATATTGAGGTGTGAATATCTATCCTGTCTTTCAATTTATGATTCACTGAACTCGTGCAGGCATGCCGTTCAATCAGCTCCGTCGTACTATTCTTGCGCAGGCAGCGGGAGCTGAACTATCGGTGTTGCATCATCAGAGCAGAAGCGCTGAGCGCTACGGACTCAACCGTCCAAGCTGTTCTCATGAACTGGACACCGAATAACCGGTCCGTTGCTGTCAATCCAAAGCCAAAATCCGTCACGCTAATAATACAACATCGATTGTAGCTTTCGCCTTTGTCCCGGTAATCTTAGCTGATGTAGTCGAAGTATCATCTGTCTTGTCTGCACCACCAGCGCCAAGGAGCTAGGGTCAAGCTACGTATTCCACCAGGATGTCTGTTACATATGGTCCTACCGATTAGATTGGTTAATGAATAGAGGAGGTATCACGGAATATTTAATTCATTTGCATCAGAATGATGCATAAGCAGCTAGATGAGGGTCAATACACATGTTTCGTCTAGCATAATCTAGCAGCGACATCAGTATAGTCCGTTGATAGGTATCGGTCAATGGCAAATCCACTGTTATTTTGAGAAACAGAACGCACCTCCTCTTTGGCTCTGAAAATGGGGGATCGCGAAGATCATTTCCTCTTATGGGGTTGTTCGATAGCGAAGTGTTCAGGTAGCTAAGACATGTAGTGTGACAGGGTTGGAAGTAGGCGCTTTTGAAAGTACTACGGTTGCGATTTGACTGGACGGACAAAATGTGATTTAGCTGGACGCGGTGTATTGTATAAGTTACAGTTCTAATCCACCAAATTTTACTTTTAGGAAAGCTGGCCTCGTCATAATCAGTGATGGCGGAACAAAAGCCCTGCGAGATAAATTCGCCGGCTTTGGGTGAACAAATTATCATGGCCATGGTCTGTGGTTTGTGACATTTGCATAGAGGTTACGAACATCGATGTGCACGTATCACTAGAATCGCTCTCAGGTACCTTGTTTTTAAGTAGCTTACCCAGACAGACGTTGAGTGTTTTTCTGCCGATGCCAACGTAACCGTTTCTGCTAGTTGAGAAAACCCTATCTTTAACGTATGGATTAGCCAGTACGTTACGATCAAATTAGTTGTTTCGGCAGCTTACGTGACCATTACGATGCGCGGTAGGCACCACTTGTTTCTGACTGACTGCGAAACCCGGTTACAGAACCTTATTGACCGGAGTACTCACCCAACAAAAACACAGCAGCTTTATGGTGAACAAGTTAAAGCGAAATTACGGAGAGTATTGCGGTATTTAAAACGAACTTTTGACCACTAATCAAAGCCGTCCGGTCACTGTTGGTTGATATCGCTTCGAGGACATACCTGAATACTCGAGCATCGTTAGTCATCCTGCTTAGCTGGCAGCTGGCTTTTTATGGACCCAGAAACTCGGCTGCCTTCCTAAAGCGAAGTTGGCGGTTCCTAGTGGGTTTCGGGCATTCTGGGGCTATTTCCACAAACCTGACCTTGACAATTCGCATATGAGAAGTTTAATTTTAAAGTGGCATTAAAGATCAAAGTTTCCACTGCTTTTCACGAGTTACTAAATACGGGTCAAGTGATATCTTATTCACGTCGTCTGACTGTCTGTTGTTGAGGTCAGTTGGCCAAATGAAATGAGTGTCCGCTCATTTTGGGTTGTCCTGTATCGACTTGGATCTCGTTCAGTGAGTTGCTACATCCGTTGAGCTCAACGATTTACATAATTTTGTTTTCGCTTGAGCATTATCTCGCACTCATGTTATAGTCTATTAAGATTTAGCAATAAAGACAAGAATACTGTCCGCTTTTACGAGAATTTCTCCCCAAAGAAATCATTGTGTTTGAAGTGGTTGCACACATCGAGCAAAGCTGAGTGCAACGGTTCGAGTTAAAACTCTGAATATTGGATGAAGATCATTTGTGTAGAATCTTCTCAACCATGACCCATTTTGGGATTGGTGTTGTCATCAAAGAGAAAATCTGGCCCCCGATTTTTTACTGTTGACTCGGACTTTTATCATACGGGCCTGCGGTGCCTGCTCCTTGGTACAATAATGGTTTGATATCTTATATCTGCGGGTGTTCGTGGCTTTAGAATGTGAGATTTTTTATTCACCAGCATTCATCAGCCGCAATGAGGCCAGTCAGTGAGTGAGTGATTCACGCCTGAGTTCAAGTTGTCACTTCCAAAGTGTCTATGATAGACATGCCTGTTCCATCTGATCACCGAGGTTGCGTGAAATTTTGCGGACCAGCTACGCATTAGGGGCAGCGGCTTCACCTCCTCGGTCTAAATTGTGTCGTGGAGTGAGAGGTGATGAATTGTTAAAGACAAATTTAATGAGTGAAGTTCGTGGATTTTATGTGAAAACACAGAAATCAACGAGTAAACGGTGGTATAGTGCTGTATTTTGACAGACTAGCTGAGAGTTTTCGCATTCTTCCAGCATACTTAGGCTCTACACACTTCAAGGTAGTGCGTTCATGACATTTCTCTTGACTCTTTTCACCGCACGAGTGGAAATATGAACAATATATAGTCCAGTGATGTGAAGTGGCGTGCTACTACAACGGATCATTCTTTGTGTGAAAAAAACCCGTTGCGAAGTATATACGCATTCGGCGTCTAAAATAACCGTTGTCGGGTTATCCTGTTTTCTGTTGTTCATAGAACATTCAAATTGAGCCGGATCAATGCGCCAAAAGTAATCCGGATTATGTTACAAGGTTTGTTTATTATTTTCTTATTCAGCCTAGTTTAGTTGTTTCGAGCTGAGCTAATTTTTTCTTCATGTACCTGCTGTCAGAATTTTCGTCCGTGTCATCGTAGACGTTGATATTCTGTCGGAGGAATGACCAGCTCATACACTCCCATTCATCATGAACTGTGGCAGTTATGTGCGCTAGATTTTGTGCTTCCTGTTTTAGTAGTAGCAGTAGTAGTAGTTTAGTAATTATTCGGATTGTAATTCTCTGGTAACCGCGTTCAGGAGGAAGCGACTTTTGGTTTCTTCCTCGTATCAGCCCATCAAGATTAACCGTGTGGATGTGGAATAAATGTTCTCAGAAATACTAGCATTTTATTTTTATTCCAAGTTAGAAGCCATATCAAAACAGTGCATCTAAATAAAAGTTGGATTGACAGACGCCGACAACAAGGAGCTCCTCGTTAACGAACTTTTTTCGCTCACATATCTGTTTCTGAACATCCTACTTACAGATGACCAACCACTGCAGTCTTTCTTCTGGCAGTGCCCCGTTCAAACTGTGAACATACATTATCCTATTCGTGAAACAAACCTTCCCACTCAGTCTTCCGAATAAAGATGATAGACACGAATTATTGTGAATAGCTTGTCCTTGACGTGCAAAATACTAGTGAGATCCACTCCCCAATTTTCAACCCCGGAGGCAAAGATTCAAAATAAGCAGGCCACGTCATTAGTGATGCTAAGCGATCTGCTCGCACATTGTTCTGAGGTTAGTGTCTATTAGGGGTAATTGTATTGTGATCGTGCCTCTTAACCGTTATTTGGTACTGTTTCCACGTTTCACAATGCGTTACTATTGTACATACTGTTGATATTAACTTTGTTGCTGATGAAGGATCCGCATTTCGACTGCCAAGCTGTGAACAAAAAACCGAGCTGCATGTCCGGGCTACCTCTACTCTGTAGCACTGTCATCATTCACATAACTGCCGGGTTGGACCCAAGTTAATCACCATGGGACCTAGAATCACTGAATTCCTCAAACCTAAATATGTCGTTAACCTCCCTTGTGTATTGTGTCTCTTAAGTGAATTCATACGTCTTTAGTTAATGCATGCATGTTTAATATTATTTCGCTTTTTCGGAATCTCGAACACTGTTCATTCGTCCTTTTCTAATTGTCAGCTTCTCAACTTGGCTTCGGAAACTTTATTCGGTATCAGAGAAGGTTTACGAAGGAAACCTCGAGGTGAGTCTTTAACCAGTCACATTAACATTTTTATGATAAAGTGTATTTGTTTTCTAACTACAATAGCACCTGACTATCGTACCTTTCCCATGGCCGCTCTCTCTCTCATAGTATCTGCGTTGATTTCAGTTGGCCTTGTTGAAGTTTATGTGACCGATGTCAGCTTGTCAGGTTTAAGTTCGTGAACGTTGTCCCGATCAACTTTCGCCGAACATGTCTGCACCACAACTAGCTGGCTGAAATCACAAAACGTGTCCATCTTAAAAATTTGTTCTTCTTGTATTTGAAGGCAATAGATTCGTAAGGACGATGTCCCTGTATTCCGTTCAATTGGATGTGACATACAATCGGTAAACAAGAGGGCAGATGCTATCCTCACAAGAGATATCACAGGGTGATATTGGTCTATCCTAAGTGAACAAAAGGCTTTTCGACTGTGTAACATACATGCTGTCTGCGATGTTGAATAAACAATGGTTCAGCACAAGTTCTTCACTATTACTGAAAGTGAATTTCAGTTGGTATTTAAATTTCGGTCTCACTACATCTGTTTGATTAGAAAATTTGCTTCAGAGGCTTAGGTTTTTATAGTTTGTGAAATAACTTTTGGAATACATCAGATGCACAAATTCGAACAAACTGGCACAGTCGTCGGACCCGTTCCGTAACCTCTCCGATGGTAACTGTCTTCATATTTTCTACATTCTTACATCCTCCTCAAAGCATGATTTTCCTTTTTTCACACAAAAAGTTATCAATCTGGATTTTTTTGAGGTCACCTACCTATCGGTGCATGGCCTTCCTAATAGAGCACCAACTGAATTTATACGGTGAGCACTGCTCTCACATGGTATTAATACCACATGAGCAATATTTAAGACGGCTCCTGTTGAGTGCAGTAAACCTAGTCCTTCGAGGTAAAATGTCCGCTGGCGTTTAGTCGTCATGTTATTCAGGGATTCATCTACTCTAGGATGTTTCGAATCTGGATCCATTTTTGTATCTTATGTTTTCTTCTGGTTCTTGTTTGGTTTGCCTTTCACTGCCCTCAACCGGTACCTAATTTACCAAGGTAATTTTTACAGCGTGCGTCAGGGTACATCAAGCCCACAGAAAAAAATATTCTGCATGAAAAGCTACATTCAGTTGTCCTTCTGGCAGGAATTCCGTTTAGTCGGTAAGGCGTAGTCCTATGCGGATCAATTTCACCGCGATACGGACGATTACGCTGTCTTAGATATCGTTAGGACGCAAGAAATCGCATTGATAGACTTACTGGCACAATTGGTCGATAGCTTATGCTAAGCTGTTACTTATCTGTCGTACAAGGAATCCTAATGTCACCTTACAAGGGTTATGTATAACAGTGCGCTGTCACAATCAGGTCATAGGACATTCTCAGTTTTGTAGTGTCTTCGATGCCAAGTCAATTCACCAACACGGTTGGCCTCAACTGCATTTCCCTTTAGGGAGACTTTAAGCCATAATCCTAACTATTAGTGGGTTGAGCACGATGTGAGTTACAGTCATGCAGGTTGTACACAGAAGGCCGATTTTGTGACGGTTTTCTTTATACAGGGGAATCATCATTGCATTCTTGAGACCTTGTGGAATATCTCCTGTATTTCAAAGTTTGTACCACTAGGAGGCGGAGCAAGTCCAGCTTGAATGACCTCCCGGACAAGTCATCTTGCCCTGTCGGCCATTCTATTTTTACATCTACAGTTCTACTACTATGGGTAAACCCGTCAACTACTTCACCTTAAATTGAAACAGTTGTGTTATAGCTCAGATCCACATCCGTTGGTCTATTGATTAGCATCTAAATGCCACGCTTCGGTGATTACAGAATTTCTTTAGCCAATTCAGCTGTCTTCTGTGAGATGGGATTATTGTGATTATGGTCCATATATTAACTTCAATCTGTCAAAAAATTCTGTATGGTTGGGTAGCCGAACCTTTGGTCAACATTAACTGGAGCGTAATCGTATCCCAGATGCAACTATCAAGATACAACAGAAAATCAGATGCCTGTCGCTAATGGAAGTACACTGAACAGACCCACCCACATTGATCTGGAAATGGAATTAACAGGACAAGCACAGCACGGTGATTTCACAGATTAAGCCAGCATTGCAAGATAACACGGGCCTGCTAAGTTTGAATGTTACAAATAATGACAGGTCATGTACTTCCGTTGAAGCGGGTGATTGAATGTGTCCAATGGTTGAATCGTTCCCCATTGTCACGTCTTTGACCGTTTGGCAGCCTTAGTATGTACCCTAAGTACTTGCTGAATTTAAGCGCTGTGAAAATTTGGGAAAAAGCACTACAAGGTGCTTGAAGGCTAGTCAAACAGTGAGCCTGTGGGATTTTCGCACCTCTCTAAGTAGCATCTGCATTGGTTTCCTTACAAATGACTGCAATCCCCGAGGTGGTGGCGAGATGGCTCAAGTGGCTAGAGTGCAAATTTACTGACCCGAAGTCCGCGGTTCGAACTCGACCACTATCTCTCGACTTACCCTGTCTAGTCTTGGGTAACCTGGCAGTATCCCAGCCCTCGTGCTTGCTTCGCGTGACATGGCAGCTAGGCACCGAAAGGGTGTTACAGCTGATTGATTATCTGGTTATCTTAATTCCCGCGGTACATGGCACATGAGTGATCCCCATGAGGCGTATGCTGCCACTTTCTGGCCGAACTGTATCTCCGTGACTGAACGCATGCTGAGTTAGGTGCACAAAGATCTTCCGGTCACAACTCCTGATGGTGCCTAAATCGATATGGTGCTCATGTTTATCTCACTGCTGGTTGTCCAAGAAGGCTCTTTGTTCCTGAGCTTGTTCCCCGTGGATAGAGGTCTCTTTACTAAGCCCTCACCTTTTCCGTAGTCTTTCGCTTACAATGAGCTAAAAGCTCACGCGTCGTTTTCACTTACAGGTGACATGGCTGCTTAGGTAGATAGTCTGTGTTGCTGAGGTCCAATCGAGTGGTCGAGTTGGGTTGGATACGATACACGTGGACAACGGAGAATGTCTGCTGAAGATTTGTGCTCATCACAGCCTGCCCAACTGCAGTACCCAATTCGGGAATAGCGGAAATATTTTGAGTACGTGGTGCTGACCAACGAACTGGCCCTGCATCCAAATAGACGACATCCAAGCGATCGGTGACGAGGGTCGATTTCTGTTCCTTCTGGAATATCTGTGTCGACTATGACGTCCGCTTTTGCTTTGTACTGCACTTCCCAGATCTACTCAAAATGCGCACACCTCGCCTAACCATTGAGAAGCTAGTGGATTCAAAAATCAAACCCTTCAGAACAAGCTCCTCATACGCCTGTTGGATGGTCCGATGCCTGCCACTGGAGACACGTTCAAAGTTATAGTCCATGCTGGAGCTATTGTCTAAAGTACAACCCGGCCAACTTCCACCAAGCACTGGATCCCTGACAAAACCGTGGCTTTGATTGATGGCCGGCGGCAGACTCCTTTTGGTTGCAACCGCAGCTCGAACCGAGGCGTCAACTGACCACTGATAAGACTGAATATCCGTGCAGACCGAGAAGCTTGGTGGCGAAGGAAGGAACTGAAAATGTGAAAAATGATGAAACAAGTCCATGGACTGTTCAACTTGATACGTTCGACTGTTCCTCGGAAGCCTCTTCGTTGTCTGACGCGGGTCATTGACCTGTGAGCATCCAGCGGGATTTCGACCAGAAAGAGGCTGCACAAGCTCTGTTGAATAAACTGACCACTATAATATCATCTTTCGGTATGCGTCTTGCACCTTCAAAGTGCAAGGCAGATACTTCAGAACACGGAATGTCTGAGCATACCTCTTGCAATTCAACGAGAGTCATCGGAAATTGTGATGAATCTTACCTACCTCGGGGGATGCATTAGCTCTGACGGAAGTGTGTCTGATAAAGTTAGTGCACGAATCTCGAAGACCCGAACCACGTTTGCTAATTTGCGTCACTTGTGACGGCAAAAGGGCACGTCACTGGGTCTCGTGTACCGGCATTTCACAAACGGCGTAGTATGGTTGCGAGGTCTGGCGTCTGCAGACACATGATGTGAAGCACCTTCAGGTCTTTGATCACTGATTTCTCAGAAGCGTTACTGGTGTCGGACGGCACCAGCGGATTCGTAACGATGTTATTAGATAACGCGTAATTAGTGATGCGGTAGGCACTTCAGTTGCTGAAAACATTCAGCACCAACAAGCACGGCTGTTCTGCTATGTGGTAAGCATGCTGAAAAATTGCCTGCCGAGACGAGTGTTGTTCTCCGTATCTCGTTCAGAACGGCGCGAACCGGCAGGTGAACAGCATGTGACATCCAGAATGGCTGCAGGTGCTGTCCTCCTTCCAGGATGGAGTCCACGTGACACCCGTGCGCTTCGCCGGATATATTGCAAGAAATGGCGGCTGATCGATGTCAGTGGCGCTTATACCGTATTTTTCATTCCAGATTATCCGATTATGCGTCTTTTGGTGTAGGCACCCCGGAATACCTGCGATGGACCGATCCTTTCTTTTCATTGAAATAAATTTTTTGGCAGTGGCGCATTACTCTTAACACTGATTTTGCTCTCTTCGGTGATGATGATGATACAGTGTTTCCTTGTGGTTGTCAGGCAATCGAGTGCCAATATTTTCTGCCGGTTCTTTGCTGCCGTCAGAGATGATGATTATGTTCCATCAGGCTATAGCAGTGGGAGCCCGCGGTCTTTTCCGCTTCGCCCTCGGCCGTGTTCGCAACGTACTGAACACCTTTTGTCCTGTTTAAAGTCATTATATTATTCCTAGATATTGTCCATTGTGCAAACGCAGCAAGTATGCCTATCCGATACTATAACGCATGAAGCATTGTGATGAGACAGAAAAGACCAGTGGTCTCCAGTCTCCCGTTCCCTCCAATCTCATCTAGAGTCTATATGTACCTACACTCTAGGATGGAGTGTTGACATTTGAGTTTTGGTGGCGAGTGTTGAAATAGGATTTGTGGTGCAAACTCGTGAGGTCTTACGTACGTTGGAAAACAGCATGACACAGCTGATGTTTTGTGACCACCAAAGACCAAGTCAGTACTTCAACTATATATCAAGGGAAACGTAGAATGCTAAATTTACCTTGTTACCGGCAGATATACTTTAAGTTAGGTGGTTGGTGGCCCATACAGATTTTACTAAAGATGTGCTAGTATACGTAGGTTGCACAAAACGGCGTGGCGGAATTCCTTGCATTTATAGACAAATGTAGCAATAAACATCCGCTTAATTTCATAGCCCGACATTTCGGCATTTGGTAATTCCGCATGTAGACCGATGGGTAATTTGGAGGATAAAGCTATTCCCTTTTGTCGTACTGTTTTGCCTTCATTACACAGCAGGCAGACGGAATCGACTAATTTTGGAACTCTTTCAAGGTGGATTTTTTGCTTTAAAAGTTGTTGTGGGGTCGAAGCTGTGGTCTGGTTTATCTGGGGATCTAGGACTTGGAAGAAGCTTCAAGGTGTCAGCCAAAAGAGGCCGCTTACAATGAGTGGCTTCTATATTTTTAGCTCCAGACATACAACGAAGATCGAATACTAAAATGCGCTCTTATCATAGTCAAACCTAGGTGGTGCCGGAACTTTGATGTCGCTTGAGTTGATTCAGTAGACACATGGTCATGCCAGTTTAACCTCAGTGTAAACAACTTCGGACACAGTTATCGCAGACTATTCTGATGGTCCCTTAGATTTCTTTATCACTGTTTTCGCCAACACTAACGCAACTGACGTGTCACCGATTCAACAGAGGACGATCGCGAGCCTAATAGGTTTTCAGTTGGATCCAGGCTTATGTGTGTACATGTGCGATCTCCGGCCGTCTATAGTCGGCCCCAAAGGAACCCACTCATCAACTGAGCACAATAGCCACCACCACGTGCACCAACGCGGCTACTATTCAACTAGATGGACCGACCGGGAGAGGCAAATCAGGTCGAACCCAAGTCCCTCTGGTACTTACCTCCGAGTTTTTCCAATTGTTTCCTTCTTGTAAACAGATCTTTTACCATAATGAGTGTAGAACGCTTTTCGGGACGTCGGACGTGTTCGGTGGTCGAGTCCGATGTTTTTTCCATCCACGGTACTTTCCACCGGTTTCGTTCCTCGGCATCACCATCATTTTCTGGAAATATTTTGCTTCTGTTGATACTATTCAACAATTCATTCGGACTTTGCAGCACCGAAATCTTGGATTACGGTACGCTCCTTGCCTAGAATCGTTGTTTCGTGCATACGAGTTCCTAGTTTTCACACCGTTTGGTGTTGAATGTTGAGCGGTTTCGGTTTGATCACAAAGCGCTCACTTTACACCACTTTAATGATGTTCTTGCTAGCTTGCTTTTACTTTAGACCGCTATAAATGCGAAAGTTCGTTCTGTCATCAGAAAATCTACGATTTACATGTTACTTTCTTTTATCAAACTTTTACACCTTTTCGTGTGCATCTGGCTCAGGCAAGCGTCTGCATATCAGGCATTGCGTTTCGTGGGTTTCTGTTAGTTATGGTGTTAATTGACCTACAAACCGTTACGCTAGGTTTTTCGTCTACTTTGATGCCCTACACAAGATTTATTAGTGCTTAACTCTTTACTGCCACTTGTTTCACTGTTTTCAACCAATTCAGCTGGTCTCTCGTGGAGAAGGAACTGGACGAACTGAAGAAGGAGGCAAGATATTTGAAGGAAACTTATCTCATCACCGAGATATCTGCCCGGTAATCGGGATTGTTGTTGTTTGTCTTTCATATTCATCAGTTCTGCGGCGCTTCTCATTATGTGTCGTTTCCACATTCTGCCAGTTTTTTATTGAAAATAAAGACGTTTTTCATAAAGTGTCATTTTTACGCAAGTGAAGTGACTGCAGGTATTCGCGTAAAGGCCACTTGAATGATTAAATTTTACTGCTGTTTTCGCTCGATT